CTTGTAATTGAGAGTCAGAGCTGAGGAGCGCGGCATCCCATCCACTCCCGTCTGGAAATTCGCCTCTCATGGGGGCCTGCGGGCATGCCCATAAAATGTGGCTCAAGTCCGCCCTGTTGTGGCAAAATTTACACTTGTCCGAATGAAGTTCCGGCACGCAGCGGTTCATTGTTACCGGACTAGGAAACGTGTGGGTCTGGAGTAGGCGCCACGCCACCGCCTGTCCTTTGTTCAATGACGAGTGTGCGGGAGGATAAATTTTCCTGCTTAGCCTGTAATACTGCGTAATATCTCTGTAAGTGGTCATCCGCTCAAATCTCTCATCGTCCTCCCCGTTCGACCAGGGCAATCCAGAGGCTCGGTCTGTAAGTCCTCGAGCTGTCTGGTGTGCAGCCTCATTGCCGGGCAAGGAGGAGTGAGCGGGTGCCCAGACTATTTCTATTGTTCGTTGGTCTTTGTATCCAACCAATATTCTTAAAGCTATTTGGGATATTCGCCCTCGTGCAAAGTTTCTCACAGCCGTCTGCGAGTCGCTAACAATGAGTGAAGTCGAGGTGGATGCTATGGCCATTGCAATAGCTGCTTCCTCCGCCTCTTCTGCAAAGCTCGTTCTCACCGAGCCGCTTGCCTTATGATTTCCTTTGTAGTCCACTACTGCTATAGTCATGTTGTCATTTCCTTTGTATTGGCCGCGTCTACGTATGTTGTTTCCGGTAAATCTTTTACGTTGTTATGTATATTTTTCGTTCTTTCAGCTCTCCTTGCTTTGTGATGTTCGGGGTGCATGTTTTTTGGAATCGGTAAGATTACTAAACATTTCCTGATTTCATACGGGATATCCTTTTTGGCGCCAAATTGATTTGCGTAGTTTATACCTAGTTCCTCTAGTATGGCTCTACCTGTTTTACTCTGCGTTAGTCTTTCATATTGTGCGATTCTTTGAGCTTCTATAAGCTCTTCTGATGTGTTGTGAAGAGTGTAGTTACTTCCAGTTGGCGTGAGGCAGCGCTCACACCAAGTAAAGTCTCCTCTACCCCACCTCCTCGCGCCGCTCACGCGACGAGAGGATCATTTTCCTTTCTCGTGCTCACGCTAGAGGGGGGGGGGGGAGGGGAAGAGTTAGCGCATGCGTACTAAGGGTGGTCACGCCGCACGCACACCTGATTGATCCTCGCCACAAGCTGCTTCGCATTTAAAATGTCGCTGCGAGTGCGATCGCACAGATCTTTCAAGACCTTCCGACAGTGTGCAGACAGCACACATTTGTTTTTCCGCGAAAATGATCTATTTATAAACTTTAATGGATAATTGAGCTTGCAGGAGCTTGGATTTAATGTTTTTAAGTTTTTTTTCTTACTCTAAAACTAAAAGGTCAAGTATGTCAATCGAAGGTCCTCAATGTTATCATTTACCTGGGATGTTCGATAGAGCCAGGAAGATGGAAATATCATAATGCCTTATGTGCAGTCCATATTTATATCATTCTGATTCCCAGTTCCAAGTCCTAAATATGCGCGCGTGGGCGCGTTTAATTCCTGGGCCTTGCTGGCGATCTGGAAGCTTACTGAACATTGTCACCGGAATGTGAGACGTGTGACAACTTTGGAACGTTTATATGATACTTGTTATTATTTCGTTGTCTAGGATATATATGTTTTTCAAGCCCCCTTTATTTTTGCAATGTATTTTATGCTGCGCTAAAACAATATATATATATATATATATATATAGTATATATATATATATATAATATATATATATATATATATATATAATATATATATATATATATATATATATATATATATATATATATCTATATATATATATATATATCTCTCACTGTACGTAAGCTGGCGCACGTATTTTTTGGTGTATGTATAGGCCAGCATGTGCGTGCGTTTGTGTATGTCTAAACTGTCACTATAAAGTGTCGTAGTATTAGAAGCTTTTGTATGAGCAGTCAGCTTTATTTTTCTTGGACACTTGCCGAGGCAATGGAAGCGCGCAATAATTCTATTCTGGCTTTTTGGTAACTCGAAATGAATTTTTCGCGTTGGTGTTGGTATAAAAGTGCGTCGGGTGCACTTATTTACGTGAATTCATTAGGTAAACCAGCACATTATTTTAGGCTACCTTCTTTGAGCTCATGAAGAACACAATAAATGAAAAAATATGCAGTGCAAACATTAAGAACTTTTATCATAGCGCTTTTCACGCCTCCGCGTTACGGACAGCCGAAGCGTAGACGAGCTAACCCGCTCTGCTGCTAGTTGGTACTCCTTTTTTTCTTGAAGTGTACTACTTGCATTTTATCGAAGTCCAATAAAATGTAGTAGCTAGTGTGTTTTACCAACAGCCTACTTTCGTCCATGTGGCTTGTTCAAATGAGCGTCAAGGAGCCGAATAAACAAACACGCGCATTTATTCTAATGTGGCTACAGTGAGCCTGTGTAGGGTTCAGCGCCGCGCAGGCCAGGTGAGGGTAACATTCTGAGGAGAATCGAGGAGGAAAACGCACGCACGGAGATGATGATGATGATGAACAAACTTTATTTAATTAGCAGAAAGGTCCTCTTCCCCTTTCAGGTGTGAGAGGAGAAGGGAGGACCAGACCTAGACGACGGCCATGATCCCATGGGCTCTGGCGACGTCTTCGGCCTGCCGTATTAAGCGTGCTTGTAATTGAGAGTCAGAGCTGAGGAGCGCGGCATCCCATCCACTCCCGTCTGGAAATTCGCCTCTCATGGGGGCCTGCGGGCATGCCCATAAAATGTGGCTCAAGTCCGCCCTGTTGTGGCAAAATTTACACTTGTCCGAATGAAGTTCCGGCACGCAGCGGTTCATTGTTACCGGACTAGGAAACGTGTGGGTCTGGAGTAGGCGCCACGCCACCGCCTGTCCTTTGTTCAATGACGAGTGTGCGGGAGGATAAATTTTCCTGCTTAGCCTGTAATACTGCGTAATATCTCTGTAAGTGGTCATCCGCTCAAATCTCTCATCGTCCTCCCCGTTCGACCAGGGCAATCCAGAGGCTCGGTCTGTAAGTCCTCGAGCTGTCTGGTGTGCAGCCTCATTGCCGGGCAAGGAGGAGTGAGCGGGTGCCCAGACTATTTCTATTGTTCGTTGGTCTTTGTATCCAACCAATATTCTTAAAGCTATTTGGGATATTCGCCCTCGTGCAAAGTTTCTCACAGCCGTCTGCGAGTCGCTAACAATGAGTGAAGTCGAGGTGGATGCTATGGCCATTGCAATAGCTGCTTCCTCCGCCTCTTCTGCAAAGCTCGTTCTCACCGAGCCGCTTGCCTTATGATTTCCTTTGTAGTCCACTACTGCTATAGTCATGTTGTCATTTCCTTTGTATTGGCCGCGTCTACGTATGTTGTTTCCGGTAAATCTTTTACGTTGTTATGTATATTTTTCGTTCTTTCAGCTCTCCTTGCTTTGTGATGTTCGGGGTGCATGTTTTTTGGAATCGGTAAGATTACTAAACATTTCCTGATTTCATACGGGATATCCTTTTTGGCGCCAAATTGATTTGCGTAGTTTATACCTAGTTCCTCTAGTATGGCTCTACCTGTTTTACTCTGCGTTAGTCTTTCATATTGTGCGATTCTTTGAGCTTCTATAAGCTCTTCTGATGTGTTGTGAAGAGTGTAGTTACTTCCAGTTGGCGTGAGGCAGCGCTCACACCAAGTAAAGTCTCCTCTACCCCACCTCCTCGCGCCGCTCACGCGACGAGAGGATCATTTTCCTTTCTCGTGCTCACGCTAGAGGGGGGGGGGGGAGGGGAAGAGTTAGCGCATGCGTACTAAGGGTGGTCACGCCGCACGCACACCTGATTGATCCTCGCCACAAGCTGCTTCGCATTTAAAATGTCGCTGCGAGTGCGATCGCACAGATCTTTCAAGACCTTCCGACAGTGTGCAGACAGCACACATTTGTTTTTCCGCGAAAATGATCTATTTATAAACTTTAATGGATAATTGAGCTTGCAGGAGCTTGGATTTAATGTTTTTAAGTTTTTTTTCTTACTCTAAAACTAAAAGGTCAAGTATGTCAATCGAAGGTCCTCAATGTTATCATTTACCTGGGATGTTCGATAGAGCCAGGAAGATGGAAATATCATAAATGCCTTATGTGCAGTCCATATTTATATCATTCTGATTCCCAGTTCCAAGTCCTAAATATGCGCGCGTGGGCGCGTTTAATTCCTGGGCCTTGCTGGCGATCTGGAAGCTTACTGAACATTGTCACCGGAATGTGAGACGTGTGGACAACTTTGGAACGTTTATATGATACTTGTTATTATTTCGTTGTCTAGGATATATATGTTTTTCAAGCCCCCTTTATTTTTGCAATGTATTTTATGCTGCGCTAAAACAATATATATATAAATATATATATATATATATATATATATATATATATATATATATATATATATATATATATATATATATATATATATATATATATATATATATATATATATATATATATATATATATATATATATATATATATATATATATGTCTGATTGTATTTAAACATCAGCCGCTTCCATATGTGTTGGCGACATCGTGCGTTTAGCGCACACGGTGGTCTCGGTCTTGAACCACGCAGCCATACGACTAGGCATGTAGGAAATGTACTACATAAGCATCTCGGGTGGTATATGGTCTAGTGACACCGTCGTAGCCGGGCCACAGATTATTGCATCAAAATGAATGTAATCTCCCATCGCTCGTTTTCCCGTCTGAGAATTTAAACCGAAACCTTACCTGCCGAACTTATTTTGGTGAGAATGCTACCTTTAAGAACGTTATGCGCGCTGTATTCGTGCAGCGTACGCGCACGTTGCGTAGTACGGCACGCCACCTACATTTACAAGCACGGCGCTGACACACGCATTCACAAAAGTGTCTTCTTAAAACCTTCTTGATGACTTGATGGTGAGACCACGTGAGACCTTACGCGCAGGCGCCGCCTTCACCGCTTTCCCCACACACGCCCAGCGACGCAGCAGGCCGCAGCAGCGCAGCGCCACCAGCGTGGCTAACCGCGGCCGCGTAGCAGCGTGCGTCCGCTCCCGATATCGTGCGGCTTATCGTTGGGGTATATGCGTCGTGCCTAGGGAGCCCTGGCTGCGACGTCGGAAGGTGCTGCATGTGATCGGCCCGCTTGCGCTGGAGCCCAGTCGGCCAGCACCCGCAGATAGGACGGGAGCCGCGCCGCGGGCGCATGCGCTTGTCAATGGCGGCGGCTCGGGCTGCAGCACCGCACGCAGCCCCTCGTAGAGGGCTGGCTCACGCCACACTGGGCCGCCTAGGCGGCCACCTCTGACGCCTTCACCGATGACTGCAAGCAGTGCCAGTATGGGGTGAGTGAGCTACACCGGGATCTCACCCCTGCTAAACCACCGCACACACCCCCGACTTGCCGGTCGAACAGGTTCAGCTTAACGGTACACCTTGTTTTCCCCAATAAATAAGGTGCGAAACTTGAGCCAAATCGTGCGTGTTTCGGCCCAAGTACAAGCCGCAATAACCGAAACATCCGCTTGTATGAAGCCTGGTTGAGTCAAATTCGCTGCAGCATCTGCTAGCGTGCTTGTTTCAAAATTTTAATAAATGTTGCGAAACTTGAAGATTACCACTGGAGAAAGTACATTAAACGCAAATCAGTTACAGCGGATTGTAAAGACAGAAAGCGCTCGCGAAGACGCGTAAACTTTTTATCACATTCAAAGTAGTTTTATGCATATTGTATATTTGCACGAATCTTTAGGACAGCATACTTGTTAATTGACCGCCAAATAAAACAACAATGCGATCACTATATGTCTGTTAATAATCAAATGTCACTTGTTATATGAATGCTTGTGCAAGGTGTACAGCAATTCTATATGATTAATTGTTCATGTTAGCATCCTTGTAGCCAGAAGTTGTCAGTGAGTTTAAACTCCCCAAGAGTTCTCAGCTTGTATGTGTGCTTACATGCTCGCATGTATTGATGTAAAGATATATGTTGTGCCCGCACAAATAAAATCTCTGCTATTCCCCTCTACCATAGCTTCAAAAATGGTGCCTTTGTCTGCACATGTGTTCCAATATATAAAGGTTGGTTCCGGTCTGGACATTATCCAGACTAGAAGATAAACATTAATTTAGCTCAACCCTTCAGGTGTTTCAATTTCATGGCCAAAGTTTTAATAATTTGTTTATAGTGCATTTTAAAACTTCATTTCCCTGAAACACTCACGGCAAATGTTGAAGCAATTTACTTCACATGTTCCATGTGCAAACTTAAGTTTATATAATGTGCCTTAGCTTGTCATATTTATCATCACCAGAAACCTCACACTAGCATACAAAAAAAATGAACTACTATTTACAGGGCTTCAAAATTAATCGTTTCTATGAAGTAAAATTTGTGTGATTGCATTCTTTGAAAGCCATCTGTGCAATAAACATGGCTTTCAAATGCTGACGATCTGCAGCCATCATCTCATCAGTGGAATCAAGGTTAAGCGAGTGTGCTGCATCATCTCAGTTACAAAAAAGGTATATTGCTGCAGACAAAGTGAGTGTTGGCCGAGCTCACCAAGAAAAAGCTTACCAGTAATGCATTGATGAGTTAAGCTTGTTCAAAGTACGTAAGATATGTCAGTACCTTCCCGCATTATATTCTAGAGCTTAAGTCTGAATATTAGTTCCGTTTTTGTCTTGTAAAGCTCAGGCATTTAGAACATTCGGGATGGTTCAGTTATTGAGGTTATAAAAACATCAGCCAAAATGTGGGTGTTACACTAGCAGTTGTAGCTCATACTGGTGTCACACGAGTGGTTGCGATCAACAGTTGTCTCTGCTACACAGCCCCTATGAATCCTGATTGAGTTTAGTGCAGACACAAGTCAAATCGCTATTGTCCCACTCTCAATCTCTACTTATCGCAACCAAAAGTGCCTTTATGACAGCAGTATAAAACAAGAGAGTCAAATCAAGAGTGATATACAGTGACGTTACATCACTAAGTGACAAGACTTGCATTAAGGTACCAAGGTGAGGCAAATTGAAACTTCTTAAAACCTTGTGGTTCTTTTTTATTAATTTTTTTATATATTACCAACAAGACATCCTACACAATGATGTATAACCTATATCTCTACTTGAACAGGGGCATTGCAGAAAAAAGTTGCAACATCGGTCAAATTTCTATTCTTTGGAACTTTGTTACAACCTTGTCACACCGTTGCTGCTTCTTTCCTATTTTTATCACTTACTATATGAACATATAAAGCCCACAATGTTATATTCTTCGTGAAAGTGCAAGCCTTTTTTTTTTTTCTAAAGTACGTTAAACTTGCAACATTTTGCAATGTTTTGTCATGACCAAAAATAATGAAAATAAAACAAAAATTGACTGAACTATCATTTTCATGGAAGATTGTGATAAAAAAATATGTGTGCAGCTTGCAGTAGTGGCAGCATTATGGTGGTAGTTTCTGTTTGCACAGCAACGCAAGGCATTAAAACTGTTTCGTAGTAATGGATCGATGCCGAAATATTTATAAATCATCTTCCACAACATAGTTTGACATCCGCAAACAAAGTTCAAAGCACCCTCTAGGTATCACAAGATATTTTCCGGAAAGAAAAAAAAAACCTGAATAACTACTTGTCTAATTCACGTCTACTTGTGTAATCTTTTTTTTTCAGCAATACTGGAGATTGGCAAAATGCCATGACACCTACCTTATATGGAATGACCCCTATAATTAAAGAAAAATTGAAGCATAAGCTCAAAGAAATTCACTGGCAGTAAAATAGCAGGAAGTGCAAGGAGCATGTAGGAAGAAACATGCTTTACAAACATTCTGACTATGGCATAATTTGGGCCAGTCCCACCCTCTCTGGAACAAGAATCCCGCATATAAATTTCTGGGTAGAATTCAGTCTTCTTGCATGTGTATAATCTGACAACTGTAAAGGTCGTGCTGTAAACAGGAATGTCAAAGTATCATGAACTAGCTATACTTGTTACTAGATATTTGAACAAGTATTTGTACTGGTTATAAAATAGCCGTGAGTGTATGTTTTCGTGGCATATGAGTAATCATTATTCAACTAATAATGGACTATGAATGTAGTGGTAATATAATGGCACATTGATAGAGTGCAGGAGCAGACAATTATTACTAAATTGTGTTACCATGTACGTAGCAGAACCGTGGTGCAATTCATTCTTCTTTTTTTCAATATAGCTGCGTCTGTTTGCAGTGGAGGATAGCCAGCTGTAAGCCTTATGTAAAGGCTATGTGGCGTCAATGTAAGATTGCTCTTTGACGAATCAAGGCTAGGCATGCCCACTGGTGTTGCATTGAGGCCCCGGGTGGGAGCAGCTCTACTTTATTACAACATCCTCATCAGTGCCTCGTGTGCCGTAGTAAGTGACTGCCACGAGCAGAGTAAACTCCACCTTGTCTGGGCATCCTTGTGAACATTTTGTTTTTATGTATTCAGAGCACTTATTTCAGAGTTTCATAAGTAGTGTCTCTTCTTTTGCTAATACATATGAGAAAGCTATGGGTTAGTTGATACAAGTATGTTAATGGTTCGGTTAATTTTCTCATGACTAAGCCTTCTTTAATCCTTTCCTATCCGAGGTTGTTGGTTAGAAATGATGGAAAAATACTGTTTTTTTTCTAATTAGTTCTACATGTCTTGAAACAAATAAAAAAGTATTTAAATACATGTTATTCACAAGATACTCTCAAAGTGTAATTTTTTTAATATGCTGGGTACGACTGCACTGTGCTATAGAAAATGCCTGAGCCTCTCCATTCTTTGGTGTGAAAAATGTGTCAGAAATATAAGAAATAAAACGCAGTGACAAGAAACAAAACAAACCTTGTCAACCTGTTAGTGTTTGTTTACATCTGTTGTGTCCACGGCTGGCACATCAAGACATGGTCATCATCCACATCATAGATTTGGAGGATATGTGCCGCTCTCTGTGATCACACCCTCTGAGGAGAAAGACCGAAATGCTTTATTTTTAGTCTGTCAAAACTTGGCCTAACAAGCATTTTTCTCCCCGAATTGTTGCTGCATTCTGTGCTCAGTCGGGCGAGCACAAAGATGCCATTTGATAATCTAAGCTATTTTGTAATCCAGTTCTTCCTTGACCAAAATGCGTGATTGGAATGCATTTCTTGAAGCCAAAGAGAACTCTGGAAAAATGATTAGGTATAGCTTCACTGCTACATAGCACAAAAACGTCTTAATGTGGATAAGGCCAGCTCATCTTTGTTGGGAGTGGTATAAATGTTATAGATGAGCTCAGTCCATTTAAATAGGGGAAAGGAGAATGCATATCTGATATGCTTGAGGATCTAAAAGAACCTTAGTCAGATATTAGTGCTGATCAACTATATGCAGGATCACTTATTTTTAATTTAAAACTCCATCTTACTAAATGGTACGTTAGCAAATAATTGACCGCTTTCCTCTTGCCATATTTCTCTGAGTGACATTGTGAAATTCGCTGTAGTAGCAGGTAAGATGTTGCACTGGCATAGGCTTAAGCAAGGGATTCAATTCCTGGCCTCAGAGGCCACATTTTGATGGGGACAAAATGCAAGAAAAACTGTACACTTAGGTGTGTGTGTGCACACTGAAATACCCTTAATAGTCAAAATTATCAGCTACTATGGCTTGGCCTTTAATTAGGATTTTGTCATGTGAAATTTTAGAATCTGTGTATTGGTGCTTAATGTCGGGCTAGCCGGATCGTACTGTCCTGAAAAATAAAGCAAGAGTAGAGTGTTTGGGGGGGTCAGGAGCTAGTGTGCATTCTGATGGAAAATCTCTGGTGGAACTGACAGCAAACTGTAATGCACCATTGCTTTGCAATAGTGTGTTCAGACTATGCATTCAACATTGTGACTAAGTGGGTACCACCAAACAGGACCCGCTGATGGTTTGTTTGCAGGGAGCAGCCCATCTTTTCCACGAAAGCGCACGTGTTCCACATCGACCCCAAAACGAAGCGGTCCTGGATACCAGCCAGCAGCCAGGCGGTGAGCGTGAGCTTCTTCTATGACTCGAGTCGCAACCTGTACCGCATCATCAGTGTGGAGGGCACTAAGGCGGTAATCAACTCCACCATAACGCCCAACATGACCTTCACCAAGACCTCCCAGAAATTTGGCCAGTGGTCTGACATCCGGGCCAACACTGTCTATGGCCTTGGCTTCGGCTCGGAACCTGACCTCAATAAGGTGAGCATGATGATATGCGGGCCTTCTGAGCCGGAATTTTAGGCACCATATTCTGAGGCTTTTTAGTTATGCTAGCGTTTCATTTGCAAATTTCGATGTGCTCCTTAATGAAAAACTAAATAGGCAATGAAAGTTCCCCAGATGAGCTTAAGTAGTTGTCCCACATAAGTTAATATCAGGGCAGGCACTTCTCTTGGTGTTCGTGTTTTTTTTACTCTAATCATCATGTTTATTGCAATGCTATGTTAAGATTGAAAGATGTGTTCCTTGAGTGTTGTTGAAGTGGACCAGGCAAAAAAAAAAAAAAAAAACGCAGTTACTATGGATTAAAATTTTATTACAAGGAACTTAATTTAGGCCCAGGATTTGTTGTAGCTTTTAATAGCTTTGAAAACCATCGAAAAACTCCTCCAAGTCAGTTGCAAAAAACAAGTCGCAGTATTCCTCTCGAAGTCCGCGGCGGTCTTCTGGCACCGCAACTCCAACATCGGCCAGTCTTCTGTGCAGGTCACTGTCTTCCAAGCCATCGAACATGTTACTAATGCTGCATTCCTAGAAGGAACGCGTCACTGTCTCCTCAGGTACAGTGGCCCATGCCTCGGTAACAAAATCGAGCACATGTTGCCGCGACAGCTTCAAGTTTTTTTTCAGTGTTCATGCTTCTTTATGCATATACTGTTCCCGCAAATGCAGCAAGGTGGACTTGAATGGCTTATTCTAGTACAGGTCAGCAGGCTGCAAGATGCTCATGCACCCCGCAGGCACGTTAAGCACGTCTGTCGTATTCCTCGAAGGCATTTGTGGCGGCTTGTGTCGTATCGATAGGCGCCTGGTCCAACACTAGTGAGCATCGCATGTCGTCGATATTTGGGCCCCGGACTCTCAACAGCCATTCTTTAATTCTCTCTGATGTCATCCAGCTGTTTTTCGTGATGGTGATAAGAACATTTGCTACAAATGGAACGAAAGTCAGCATTGTGATAAAACGAACTTGGCGACAATGTGACCCCTCACCCGTTCAAAAAAATAAAATGATTCTCACCTGGAACGGAAAGACTCGCAAAGGTCCTGGCTGGAATTTTTCCACTTTGAAGATAACGAAAGCTGGGAGCTTGTGGCTGGTGGCTAGGCAAACCATGAAGCCTTGCCAGGCACATCCAGTGTTTGCAATTCGTATGGTGCTTTCACTGACCACGTTGTTCGTCCTGTTGAAGGGGTTGTCTATTTGTACCACCGTCTGATCCATGTTGCCCATGTTATATAAGGTGCAGCTGTTGCGCCGTCGCAGCAAGTTTGCAGAAGATTGAAAGGCACTTTCTGCCTTCGAAAGTTCCTCGGGCATCTTCCGACTCTCGTTTGCAATGCGGCACATTGCAACGCCATATCGCTGTTTCCAGCTGCTTATATAATGGCTGGAGGCTACGAAGTTTCCCAACTGCATGCTGTTGGCAATTTGGACGGTCCCTTCGGAAAGAATTCGGTGCTGGGGGGGAGGGGATTGCACGTTCTGCATTTCTTTCGTACTTAAGGTACTCGAAGATCGCATCAACCACATGTTCGCTGAACACTGGTGCGCCGTTACTCAGCGTCAGTTGAAAAGTTTCCTTCCCATAGTTTAGCTGCAGCAAATTATAGAAATTCTTCTCCCATTTCCATATCCGCTTCCTGTCGAGCTTGAAATGTCAAGATGTCTAGCGCACGTTCTTTCCATTTTCTTGACACCATCGAATACCCGGCACTTTCTTCGCCATTGTGTAGGACTGGATAGGCATAGCTGACCTCTCACCGCAAACACAAAGCTACAAATAGCGCGGAGGATGTGCAGAGCAATTGGACTGCAGTGCAAAGCAGGATTGGATTGGATTGGATTGATGGGGGCAGAGCAATTGGATTGCAGTGCAAAGCAGGATTGGATTGGATTGATGGGGGCACTTTCCCGGAACGGCGCGGATATTTAAAATTGCCAGTGGAATTTGGGGGGGGGGGGGGGGGGGGGGGGGGGGGGGGGGGGGGGGGGCTTGTACGGGCTGAGGCGCTGCTCCGAATTTTAGAGTAGTTGAATCTCAATGTGTATAACAAACTATTGGATATATAAGAGGTTATGTAAAATTCGGTGTAATTTCTTTTAATAGCACAAATGCATCTGAAATGTATGCAGGGCTTGGTGATAGTATTTTTTTTGTTTAATTCACTTTAGTTATGAGGAGGCTTAACTGTTCATGCAATAGCCACTGGTGCAATGCCTCTGTAGAAATTTTTCTTGCAGACTTCTTATGTCTGGCATTTGATGAAGCAGTATTTCACTTTGTGGTTTGTAAACCTCAGTAGTGTAAGTCTGGCTTATGAAGCTCACTTGTGGGCTGTTCAAAGTAAGCATGAAGTTTAATTGCTCTGAAGAGAGAGACAGAGAAACAACTTTATTGATGGCATAGCAAGGTCGGTAAACTTAATTTGCCGGTGCTTGGAAGGGTGGTGGTCAAAAGCTTGCCACGACCGTTTCAGCCCAGTTAACCACTTCTGCCTGAAGACGGTAGTCGGCTGACAACAGGAGCAACTCCCGCACTTCGAGGGAGGAAGCTGGCAGTATTGTTCTTGGTGGGGGTTACCCTCACATTCCCAAAGAATGTGATTTTGGGTATTTTCACAAGCCCTTTTCCCAATGCTTGAATAGATAGAAACTGGAACTGTTATAGTTATGCAATCTATAAAATGCATATTCCTTATTTCTCATTGATAAGAAATAATTCTTTATACATTTTATATACATTTGCTTCACCCTGACTAAAACAAGAATTAAGCAAGATGCAATAAGACGCTGAGAAAATATTTAAACACACTGCTGATTTATTTGACGGTTCTTATATGGCTCAAATCAGACAAGTAACCACTGTTTATGGGTTTAAAGCAAATAAACTTAAAGAGCCAGTAAACAGCCCTGAAGTCCAAAAATTTTTAAAAAGGGATATAAGTGCAGTTTTTCTTTTCGAACATGCTGCCGCAAGAATTTTGTGAATACGTGATATATTAAGGAAGTTACAGGGGTTAGAACATCGGTCTAATCTGGTTTCAAATTGCCGATTGACGTCATCGGCAAACTCGTTCAGTCGCAACGCACTTCCGGTTGCTGCGAAGCGTGTTTTTTATCTACCATTTGCCGCACCAGCCGCGGGTCAACCCTGTAAGCGTCAGGTGAGAAGTGTCGACCACAAACGATCAGGTCCCCCCATGTACGCCGCTTGATGACCGATTCGCTCTGCCATGCAGCGCGCAGAACCCCATCGTGAGGCACCCGGTGCTGATGCTTCTCCGCTGCCCAGTCGCTCGATTTGCAGCCGACGACAGAGCAGCGCTTTTTACCCGTGTTGCTCATGTCAAGGGCGAAGTACGTTCGTACGTGCGCACAGGCACTGTAGTTGAGCGAGGAGTGTACATGTGCACGCGACAACCGCGAGGCTGGTTCTTTCACCACAGTGCCAAGAATTAAGGGGCAGTTTTGTAGCTGTGGGTGGGAACAGGAACTGACTACTGTTTTACTACTGTTTTACTGTTTTTTCACACCTGATTTAGACCAATCTGCGAGCTGCGTGCTACGTTACAACGCTGATGGCAGAGTTGACGTCACTATGCGTGCAAGGGGGTCGGTCAGGCGTAGGAAAGGTGCGCGGGAATTGTTTTTTGAAATAGAGGCTCTGCGCGGTGCGCGGCGCTGTAATATTCAAAAAATGTGATCGCTGCGGTCAAATCTACGAATTGCTGAGCTTGTATGGGGGGTGTAAAAAGAAAGTCGAAGCCTGTTTACTGGCCCTTTAAACAGGAATGAAAGCATGGCTTCTAAACAAAGTATAATTTCAATCTGCACTCAATCTTTAGGAGCAAATACAGTATGGCATGCTTTTCAGTTTCGTTTGGGCAGTAAAGAAAAGACAAATGTAGTAAACCTTAGTTTTACAGACTGTGATTTTGGTAATTGTATATTGCTGATCATCAGTCTTGGGCAGCACTCAGGCTGTCCACAAAGAGCCGGAATATGCCATCCTTTGAATGCATGTGATATTTCACATTTATTAAAGAAAGCATTCATGCTGCACTTGCAGATGGCACTGTAGAAAATGCTTGTTCTGCATGTGATACGTGCAATAGCATGGAATGCCAAGGTCATGTAATGTTGTTGCTGCTAGCTAATCAGCTTGAATGTGTTTTCATGATGACAGTTTGAGGTAAAGATACTATACGTCTCACGCAGGCACCATGGCATGCTGTTGAATAAACAAAGATTACTTACATTAACATGGATTGCCATCACCATATTGTGTCAATGAATCATATTGAAAGTAGTGTGCACTAAATATAGTTATTGGCACATCAATGAAACCGGTATTTTTTCTTATAATTTGTTTCTGATTGCATATCGATACAGGTTTGCTTGATGATTGCAGTTGTTACCAGAACAAGAAAGGTTTGAAAAACACCTGCAGCCTGACTCTAGCACGTTTTTGTATTTAGCCTTTTTTTCTATTGTTCTTTATGCTTATCATTTAGTTAAACAAGCCAGGCACATGGCTCCGTCAGCTTCCACTGAATCTTTTCACTGAATCTCTCTCATCCCACAAATAAGCAGAATGGCATGCTACAAGAATGTCCCACCCGCATTTGTGAGGTGACTGTGTTTGTGTGTGTATGTGCAGTTCATCGAGAAGTTCCAGGAAGTTAAAGAGGCAACCCGGCTGGCTGCCCAGAAGGCTGGCAACAATGGTGTGGCGGCCGTGCGGCCCCCTGAGGGAGGGGAAGCCGGTGGGGGGGACCCCACAGCGCTTCACGGTGGTGGCAGCCCCAAGCACCAGCAGGCAGCAGCCAAGGCGTCGCTGCCCCAGACAACGGCCGAAGCGCAGCTGCGCTATGAAAACGATAGGCTCAAACTTGCGCTGGCACAGAGCTCGGCAAATGCCAAGAAATGGGAGGTGGAGCTGCAGACGCTCAAGAACAACAACGGCCGGCTCACGTGCGCCCTGCAGGAGAGCACGGCCAATGTGGAAGAGTGGAAGCGCCAACTGCAAGCACTCAAAGAAGAGAATGCTACGATTCGTGCACGCATGCTGGATCTGGAGGCTGGCAGTGCCCCGGATGCCCAGGAGCTGCGACGGGAGCTGGCCGCCTTACGCAGCCGTGCTGAGCTACTTGACCGAGAGAACAAACAGAAGGACAAAGTGAGCAAAGATTGGTGGTGCACTAGGTGCACCTGCAGATGGTCTATGCTGATCGTTAGGCCCTTTAGAATAGCACTGTGGGCTGTTGCCATGTTTTGATAGTGGCTTGGTGAACTTAAAATTTTTTCATGCCCTGGCTACTTGGACACTCTAACCTCGATTACAACAATCTCCATTCTTGCATACCGTAGTTGCATTCAGTTAGACGGAAAACCTATCTGCAGTTATCTTACGAACTGTAATTACTACAGACTAGCCTTGAACAGCTAAGTTAAGGAAACTACCTAAAAAAATGGCAATACCCATGTCGACAATCAAAAGCAACGTGGCTCTAAGGCAGGCCGAAATGTCTTCCAAAAAAGGTGTCAAGTGGTCTGTCTCAACAAAAGATGCAGATACTCGAAACATTCCAGCCAAAAAAAAAAAAAAAAAAAAAAAAGTCTAGTTTAAATATTGTTACGTGAGTAACGAGACAAAGTATTGCGAATATATTCGAAAAATATATTTGCAAGAGCGGTTGCAGCACTGGCCAGTCTGGCTCCGAGCTCGAGCAGCCAGCGAGCCTCCTCTTCTTCGTCGGGCGCACACGCGCATTCGCACTATGGTTTGTGGCAGCCTACAGGTAGCATATAACCCCCGTCGGCAAAGGCGCCGTCTCGGCGCATCTAGATGTCAAGATCATTGGGCGAGTGGTACTGCTTCAGGCGTGCGACGTGTACGATGTCGCTGGCCCTAGGGGTGGATGAAGACGGCGAGGCAGCAGGAGTGATTTCATAAGTGACGGGAGTCACCTCACGAAGCACTCTGTAGGGCCCTGTGTACCGAGAGAGCAGCTTGTCAGACAGGCCAACGTGCCTGGTCGGAGACCACAGCAGAACCAACGAACCGGGCGAAAAGTGCACATCGCGGTGTCGTTGGTCGTACCGACGCCGTTGGTTTGCTTGGGAGGTCAGAAGGCGAGCACGAGCGGTTTCGCGTGCGTGGGCGGCCCGGCTGATGGCGTCCAGAGCATATTGTGAAGTTGGAGCTGCTGGTAACGGAATCGTCGTATCGAGGGGTAATGTGGGTTCGCGGCCGAACAGCAAGAAAAAAGGGGAGTAACCAGCCGTGTCGTGGCGCGAAGAATTGTAGGCAAATGTCACGTATGGTAAAGCGATGTCCCAGTCAGAGTGATCTGAGGAAACGTACTTTGCAAGCATGTCAGTTAGGGTTCGGTTCAGGCGTTCTGTGAGGCCATTTGTTTGCGGATGGTACGACGTAGTGAGCTTGTGGCGTGTTGCACAAGAGCGTAGAATGTCCGCTATGACTTTCGATAGAAATGTGCGGCCTCGGTCCGTGAGCAGCTGGCGTGGAGCACCATGTTGCAAGATCACGTCGTGTAGAAGAAAGTCGGCGACGTCAGTGGCGCAACTTGTTGGAAGGGCGCGTGTGATTGCGTAGCGTGTGGCGTAGTCTGTGGCCACAGCTATCCACCTGTTGCCAGCAGAAGACAGAGGAAAAGGGCCGAGTAAGTCCAAGCCGACGCGAAAGAAAGGTTCAGTAGAAATATCGAGTGGTTGAAGGCGCCCAGCCGGAAGCGTCGATGGTGTTTTGCGGCGCTGACATTCCTCACACGCCGCGACGTATCTTCTGACGGATCGTGCCAGACCTGGCCAATAGAAGCGACGGCGAATCCGGTCGTATGTGCGGGACACACCCAGGTGACCGGCAGTAGGAACGTCATGAAGTTCGTGGAGTACAGCCAAGCGGAGGTGTTTGGGTATGGCAAGCAGCAGAGATGGGCCGTCTGGATGGAAGTTATGCCGGTATAATGTGCCATTCTGGAGTACGAACGAGCGATAGGATCGGTTCGATGGGGAGGAGTCGAGGCGCTCAATGATAGCTCGTAGGGCTGCATCACGGCGTTGCTCGTCGGCTATGTGGTTCAGTTGAGAAACGGAGCACACGCAGGCGTCGTTGTCAGGTATGGTGGCCGATGGGTTAACTGGATAGCGAGAAAGGCAATCGGCGTCCTGGTGCAGGCGTCCAGACTTGTATATCACAGAAAAGGTGTATTCTTGCAGTCGCAGAGCCCAGCGACCAAGTCGACCTGTAGGATCTCTTAAGGATGAAAGCCAGCAGAGCGCGTGGTGGTCGGTGACGACGGAAAAGTGAGTGCCATATAAATATGGACGAAATTTTGAGACCGCCCAGACAAGAGCAAGGCATTCTCGCTCTGTGATCGAATAGTTACGCTCTGCAGGTGTAAGGAGGCGGCTAGCATACGCGATAACGCGGTCGTGTCCCTGTTGGCATTGGGCGAGAACGGCTCCGATACCGTGACCACTGGCATCAGTTCGGACCTCAGTTCGGGCAGATGGGTCAAAGTGGGCGAGGATAGGGGGCGTCGTCAAAAGTGTTATGAGGTGAGAGAAGGCGGCAGCTTGAGTGGACCCCCACGAAAATGGAACGCCTTTCTTCAAAAGATCGGTAAGTGGTTGGGCGATTGCCGCAAAATCTTTCACGAACCGCCTAAAGTAGGAGCAAAGTCCCACAAAGCTCCGGACATCTTTGGCGGATTGGGGTACTGGGAAATTCGTGACGGCACGAATTTTCTCAGGGTCCGGTCTCACACCAGAAGCATCGACAAGGTGGCCCAGCACGGTAATCTGTCGGCGGCCGAAGTGACACTTCGAGGAGTTCAACTGGAGGCCAGCTTTGCGGAAGACGTCGAGAATGGCCGACAGACGCTCAAGGTGGGTCTCAAACGTAGGTGCAAATACGAGGACGTCGTCTAGGTAACACAGGCATGTTGACCATTTGAACCCGTGTAGCAGAGAGTCCATCATACGTTCGAACGTGGCGGGGGCATTGCATAGGCCGAAGGGCATAACCTTGAATTGGTATAGGCCATCTGGAGTGATGAAGGCGGTCTTTTCTTGGTCTTTCTCGTCTACGGCAATCTGCCAATAACCAGAACGAAGGTCGATGGATGAAAAGTAGCGTGCGCCGTGGAGACAATCGAGGGCGTCATCAATACGTGGTAAAGGATACACGTCCTTTTTGGTGATTCGATTTAGATGCCGGTAATCGATGCAAAAACGCCATGTGTTGTCCTTCTTTTTAACCAGGACGACGGGTGACGCCCATGGGCTTGATGAGGGCTCAATAATGCCTTTAGTTAACATCTTATTCACTTCAGCTTGAATGATCTGGCGCTCCGACGCGGACACGCGATACGGTCGACGGTGAATGGGAGCAGCATCACCGGTGTTGATGCCGTGCTTTACAAGAGAAGTTTGGCCGAGTGGGCGGTCGTCAAGGTCGAAGATGTCACGGTAGGAAGCTAGAAGGCGTGCGAGAGCGGCTGATTGCGCTGGGGGAAGGTCAGGGTCGATCATGGGACGTATTGACATGTCGAGGCATGTGGCATCGAGTGGGCGACAAGGAAAATTGGGGCATGCGTCGGCTGCGAAAGTGGTGACGTGATCATCGGCTAAGGACCGCAACGTGGCAATTAGGATGCCTTCAGGGAGGACTTGCTTTGTGAAGCCGAAATTTATGACGGGTAGACGGGTCCGGTTGGAGGCTACAGTTACGATGCAGTGAGGGACGGTGACGTCACGTGCCAGTAGGACATCAGGAATCGGCGTGACGATGTAATTCCCATCCAATACGGGTGAGGTCGTGGCGAATTCGGTGAATGTGAGGGCTTTAGGCGGTAAGCGGAGGAAGTCTGTGGCAGAAAGGCCGTGTTGAGGTTCAGGGTGAATATCCGGCTGAAGAGGAAGGTCTAAGCAAAGAGTACCAGCGGAACAGTCGATCAGAGCAGAATGGGTCGACAGGAAGTCCATCCCTAAGATGAGGTCATGAGGACAGTTCTGGAGCACCGTGAATAGAACAGGGATGTAACGGTCGGCGATGCGTATGCGAGCCGTACACATGCCAATGACAGGAACAGTGCCGCCATCGGCCACACGTACAGCTTCGGTAGCAGGGGGCGTGAGTACTTTTCTTAAGCGGCGACAAAGATGAACGCTGATTATGGACACATGAGCGCCAGTGTCGACTAGTGCCGACAGAGAAATACCGTCCACGTGTACATCGACAAGATTTTTGTTCGTATGAAGCGTCAATGGAGGGTTTGGTTCAGACAGGGATGATGCAGCACTACCTCCAGGGGCTGCACTGTCTAGTTTTCCGTCGGGTACGATGAAAAGTTAGGCGGCGAGTGATGGCGGCGTGGCTGGGGCGACGGGGAACGACGGCGTTGAGGGGACGGAGAACGAGCAGGAAGGCGGCTGTTAGACGTGTCGAAAGCAGGGGCGGTACGGCTGGACGAATACCGGCGAAGATCTTCATATGGGCTATAAGGTGCGAAAAACTGGCTCCTATGTGGCGGCGTCCAGGAGGCACGGCAGTAGCGGGAGACATGTCCAACGCGGTGGCACCGGAAGCAGATCGGTTTGTCGTCAGGAGTTCGCCATTCCGCCGGGTTGCGAGATCGTGGAGCAACAAATGGGTCACGTCGAGGTGCATTAATGGGAATTGGTCTGGAGGAGGGGCAAGAGATGGGGCAAGCATCAGGGAACCCGCGGTTGGCGAATTCTTGTCGTACGACCGCCTGAATAACGGAGATCGCGGGGGTTGTCGGTATCGTATGTTCGAAAGAAGTGGGCTGAAGCGGCGCTGGACTTGCTGCTTCAAGTTCCCGTCGAACGATACGCGTTACACTCTGCTCAAAGGGCGGTGTGACGGTAGAATCGGAGCAGGTGGACGTAGCCGCCGTGTTTGGCAACCGAGAAAAAGGAGGGCGCACCCGACGGCTTTTTGCTGTTTCGAAACGGCGGCATTCTTGAATTACACGGTCGATGGTCGAGACGTTAGTGTACACCAGCAAATTGAAGGCGTCGTCCGCGATCCCCTTCAAAACGTGTCCAACCTTTTCAGCCTCAGACATCGCTTCGTCCACTTTTCGGCAAAGAGCGAGAACTTCTTGGATGTATGACACATACGATTCA